AAATTAAATAAAGTTGGTTCAACACAGTGGCGGGTCATTTTGACCCTAGGACAACGGGAGGGTTAAGACTATTGATCCAATGGGCTTAAATGAGAAATTCTAAACCACCTGGCACCTTACCTCCATCTGGCGTCCGGTTCCGGAGACAGCAGCTGGAGCTCCCTCTAAGGCTTAAGAGATATACATCAGGGGGAGAGATGTATTGACTGCGGGAATGTACCAATAAATGAATTTGAAAATTGTGTGGCTTTCTATTTTACAAAGAAAAAAATATTTTTGACATCTGGTAGGACCAGTATGGCACTTTTGCATGATACCCCCCCCTTTTTTTATGCATGAAAAGCACTTATTGTATATTTATTTTAATTGTACATAATTAATTGTATATCATTGGTGCATTTCCTGTAGTCTATATATTTTTTGTCATACTGGGGACTCTTAAATGTTGAGCCAGGGTGTGGATTTGCTATGTTTAGTTTTTCTATGTTTTTGTTCTAGATCGTTTGCTCTATGTTGGCCAGGGTGGTTCCCAATCAGAGGCAGCTGTAGCTCGTTGTATCTGATTGGGGACCATACTTAGGCAGCCTGTTTTATAATATAATAATATAATATGCCATTTAGCAGACGCTTTTATCCAAAGCGACTTACAGTCATGCGTGCATACATTTTTGTGTATGGGTGGTCCCGGGGATCGAACCCACTACCTTGGCGTTACAAGCGCCGTGCTCTACCAGCTGAGCTACAGAGGACCACTAGTCGGTGTGGGATCTTGATCCGTAAAGGTTTGTTGTGTTATAACCTCAGGACTTCACATATCGTTTGTTTGTTGTTTTTGTCGTTAAGTACGTTAAATAAAAGTATGTACGCTTATCACGCTGCGCCTTGGTCCGTGTCTTCAGTCAACGATCGTGACAGAAGATCCCACCATAAGAGGACCAAGCAGCGTGCCCAGGAGGAGAAGATGGCGATGTCGCAGGTGGGCAAATGGTGGTCTTGGGAGGAGATATTCGCGGGGAAAGGGCCATGGGCAAAGGTGAATGCCCAGGCAGGAGAGGAGACTGTGGAGGCGCGCTACAGAGAGGAGCAGCGGCAACGCAGAGGGTACCGGCCGGGGAGGAAGCCCGAGAGACAGCCCCAATCATTTTGTTTGGGGGGGCTAAAAGGGTGGTTGGCGGAGCCACGTACTGTGCCGCGAGTGTTCCGGCACAGTCCTGTACGTCCTGTGCTAGCACCACGCACGTGTCGTGCTAAGGTGGGCATGCAGCCAGGATGGGGTGTGCCGGCTCAACGCTCGTGGCCTCAAGTACCCCTCCTCGGTACCGTATGTCCTGCGCCAGTGCCACGTGCTGTAGCGCCAGTACGAGTGCACAGCCCTGTAATTCCTGTGCTGATGCCTCAGACATATTGTGTGGAAATAGGCATTCAGCCAGGACGGGTTGTGTCAGCTCTCCGCTCTAGACCTCCAGTCCGCCTCCACAGTCCGGCCCGGCCCGTTCCGGCTCCCCGCACCAAGCCAGTGGTGCGTGTTCCCAGTCCAGCCCGGCCTGTTCCTTCTCCCCGCACCAAGCCAGTGGTGCGTGTTCCCAGTCCAGCCCGGCCTGTTCCTGTCCCTCGCACCAAGCCAGTGGTGCGCGTCGCCAGCCCAGTCCGGCCTGTTCCTGCTCCCCGCACCAAGCCAGTGGTGCGCGTCGCCAGCCCGGTCCGGCCTGTGCCTGTCCCTCGCACCAAGCCAGTGGTGTGCGTCGCCAGCCCGGTCCGGCCTGTTCCTGCTCCCCGCACCAAGCCAGTGGTGCGCGTCATCAGCCCGGTCCGGCCTGTTCCTGCTCCTCGCACCAAGCCAGTGGGGCGCGTCGCCAGCCCGGTCCGGCCTGTTCCTGCTCCCCGCACCAAGCCAGTGGTGCGCGTCGTCAGCCCGGTCCGGCCTGTTCCTGCTCCCCGCACCAAGCCAGTGGTGCGCGTCGTCAGCCCGGTCCGGCCCGTTCCTGCTCCCCGCACCAAGCCAGTGGTGCGTGTGTCCAGTCCAGCTCCGGCCAGCGGGACCAGATCAGGGGTGCAACGGGGGGGTGGAGAGAGAGTGGTGGTCACGCCCGGAGCCGGATCCGCCTCCGAGGCGGAATGCCCACCCGGGGGGGGGGGGGGGGGTACTGTCACGACCTGGCTCTGGGGACTCTTAAATGTTGAGCCAGGGTGTGGATTTGCTATGTTTAGTTTTTCTATGTTTTTGTTCTAGATCGTTTGATCTATGTTGGCCAGGGTGGTTCCCAATCAGAGGCAGCTGTAGCTCGTTGTCTCTGATTGGGGACCATACTTAGGCAGCCTGTTTTGGCACTAGTCTTTGTGGGATCTTGATCCGTAAAGGTTTGTTGTGTTATAACCTCAGGACTTCACGTATCGTTTGTTGTTTTTGTCGTTAAGTACGTTAAATAAAAGTGTGTATGATTAACACGCTGCACCTTGGTCCGTGTCTTCAGTCAACGATCGTGACACGGGGGGTCCTTTTTGGCGGCAGGTTGCAGTGTAGATCAACATGAATATACTCCTTCACAATCATTGTAGTCTTGTTTTAGCTGGGGCTTCACTTGCCTTCAAAAGGAAAACATATCGTAAATTAGAAATCAAGGGAATTTCACAATAAAAGTCTAACTTCAATTGTGCCTGTTCCTAAAACTAATAAAAGTCTCCACTTACCTGTTGTTTAAAAGCCATCTTATGTGGACATCTAGGAGTGACAGCGGAAATCACCTGTGGGTTTATGAAATAAAAAAGGGTTAGAAAACACTGTCTATGAAATTATTGTATTTATTTATTTATTTATTGGTTTGGTTTGATGTGGTGTATATGGTTTACAGGAATATATTTACTTACTTTATTTGGTCCTTTTGCATGTAGGGAGGATATACATTCTGCACCTTTTCTTTTTTCTCCCCCCTCCCTTTTTTATAAGCACTTATATATATTTTTCTATATTTATTTAAATATTTATTGAGATAGTGGTTTTCTCCCTTTTTGTTGCTTCCCCAACAGTGAGATAGAAACAGGTTCCGGTAGCCAATGGGTTAACACAGCCCAAAGACAGAATATTCCCCTCAACTTTTGACCTAACCCTAACCACAGTGACATTGTGCCTAAACTAGAGAATATTCCCCTGCCCCTCACCTTAACCCTAACCCCAATCTCAGTGACACCAGTGCCTAAACCTAACCTCAGTGACACCGGTGCCTAAAACCTAACCCTAACCCTAAAGTCCTCTACTTAACCCTAACCCTAACCCTAACCTCAGACACCGGTGCCTAAACCTAACCTCAGTGACACCGGTGCCTAAAACCTAAACCTTAACCTTAAAGTTCTCTACCTAACCCTAACCCTAAACCTTACCCTAACCCTAACCTCAGAGACACCGGTGCCTAAACCTAACCTCAGTGGCACCGATGCCTAAAACTTAATTCCTTCCCGTTTTTGGGATTCTATTGTAATGTCTTGTCTTGTCTTTCCTGTATTTTTTATTTGTTTTATGTTTTTTGGGGGGATTTCATTAAAACAGAAAGGATAAGATATATTTATAGCCCCTGTGCCCGTGCACACTTAACACCCACTTGGTGTTAAGAATTTGTCCCCTACCTAACCCTAACCCTAACCCTAACCCTAACCCTAACCCTAACCCTAAACAGATGGCCACAGGAACATACCCCCCTCCTCCTCCTACGCCACCATTGGCACCACCTCTGTCAGAACAAACTGCACCCTCCCACACTACAAACAACCAACACCACCTCCACAATACTAACAAACAGGGCTACCACCAACACCACCTCCACAACACTAACAAACAGGGCTACCACCAACACCACCTCCACAACACTAACAAACAGGGCTACCACCAACACCACCTCCACAACACTAACAAACAGGGCTACCACCAACACCACCTCCACAACACTAACAAACAGGGCTACCACCAACACCACCTCCACAACACTAACAAACAGGGCTACCACCAACACCACCTCCACAACACTAACAAACAGGGCTACCACCAACACCACCTCCACAACACTAACAAACAGGGCTACCACCAACACCACCTCCACAACACTAACAAACAGGGCTACCACCAACACCATCTCCACAACACTAACAAACAGGGCTACCACCAACACCACCTCCACAACACTAACAAACAGGCTACCACCAACACCACCTCCACAACACTAACAAACAGGGCTACCACCAACACCACCTCCACAACACTAACAAACAGGGCTACCACCAACACCACCTCCACAACACTAACAAACAGGGCTACCACCAACACCACCTCCAACACTAACAAACAGGGCTACCACCAACACCACCTCCACAACACTAACAAACAGGGCTACCACCAACACCACCTCCACAACACTAACAAACAGGGCTACCACCAACAGGGGCCCTCCAACGTCTCCCACCAGGCACATCAGACTGGGGGCTGCCGCAACCACGGGCCCCACAGGGTCTTCGACTAGGGTGGAGGACAAGGGGCTGCCGCAACCACGGGCCCCACAGGGTCTTCGACTAGGGTGGAGGACAAGGGGCTGCCGCAACCACGGACCCCACAGGGTCTTCGACTAGGGCGGAGGACAATGGGTTGCCACAACCACGGGCCCTCGACTAGGGCGGAGGACAAGGGGCTGCCGCAACCATGGACCCCACAGGGTCTTCGACTAGCAAACACTAAACTGACTGTACCAAATAACCTCTCACCTAATTTGAATAAATCCTCAATTAAAAACATTATTTATAACTTCTGTTTTCTTGTTTAATTGATTATTTATTTATTTATTATTCATTTCTATTTTCTGATTGGATTGCTGTGTGTTTTACTTTTAATTGCATGATAATTATTTTGATTTCTTACCCCCCTTTAAGGCACTAGTTTGAACAATTAGCACTGATTTATTTATAGTTGCCAACATCAGCAACTAAAAGGAAATTGTATCTAGTTTACAAACATTTCAGACATGTCAAATGCCATCCACCAGGCCATGGTGGTCCAGTGGTTAGGGTATGGGGAAAGTTGGTGATAATTTGCTGGTTTGAATCCCCCAAGGGGGTAAAAAAGGAAAACCTATGTTTTGGGTGTTCCATTGAGAAAGGCACTTGGTGCCAAATGTTTTATGGTACGCTGTTGATGGGAATTCAGGCCATCTAGTGACCATCAACAAACATTTTGGGGAACTACCCTTTATTCTGGTTGGAAGTTTTGAGCTTTTTGGGACTACTTCATCTATTGACACAATGTATTAAAATGGTACTTTGGTTTTACAGTGAGGGAAAAAGTATTTGATCCCCTGCTGATTTTGTACGTTTGCCCACAGACAAAGAAATGATCAGTCTATAATTGTAATGGTAGGTTTATTTGAACAGTGAGAGACAGAATAACAACAAACAAATCCAGAAAAACGCATGTCAAAAATGTTATAAATTGATTTGCATTTTAATGAGGGAAATAAGTATTTGACCCCCTCTCAATCAGAAAGATTTCTGGCTCCCAGGTGTCTTTTATACAGGTAATGAGCTGAGATTAGGAGCACACTCTTAACCCTCCTGTTATGTTGTGGGTCAATTTGACCCGTTTCCACTTTTGCGTTGTCTAAAATACTAGTTAACCACTCTTTTTCGCCATGAAATTACATGACTTTTCCTCATTTAGGGTCATGAACCTAACTGCAAAATGTGGACACACTGATGTGTTGTGGAATGTCTGTGTACATTTTGTATACAAACATGATGTTGTGGGTCATTTTGACCCGGAGGCTTTCATGTGTATATATATTTGCACAGGTGCAAAACAAAAAAGTGTCTTTGATTTATTTTGTTTTGACTGGTCCTGGTTGCACTTTTAGAATTGTGTTTGGGTTAAAAAGGGCTTTCCCAAGCTTCTCCTCAGTGTGAGAGCAGCAGGTCCCTGACACAGACACTCAAAAATGAGCTCCAAAAGATTTTCAATCAATGAAGTCTTATCACAAATTCTGGACTGTGACAGTGAAAAAGAAGAAGAGGTTTCAGAGACAGAGGATATTTCAGAGATAGAGGACAATGCTGTTGATGATCCAGATTTTGTCTTCATTGAAGAGGATTCAGAGGAGGAGTCTGCCGTACCATCCCCTACATCAGATGAGAGACAGAGCATGCAACAAGCATCATCAAGAGAAGAGAAGACATGGAAGTCTAAAGATGGTCATATTGAATGGTCACCGTCACCACAACGAGGTCAAGGTAGACTCTCAGCTTCCAATGTAATAAAAATGGTTCCAGGACCTACACGATTTGCTGTCACTCGAGTCCATGACATACAATCAGCTTTTGAGCTCTTTTTACCCCAAGCAATAGAGAAGATTGTTCTGGACATGACCAACTTGGAGGGGAGCCGTGTGTTTCAAGAGAACTGGAAGCCACTGGATCGGATTGACTTGCATGCATACATTGGATTGCTCATATTAGCTGGAGTCTACCGGTCAAACGGAGAAGCAACGGCCAGCCTGTGGAATGAAGAGAATGGAAGGCCAATATTTCGGGCAACAATGTCTCTACAAGAATTCCACATAATTTCTCGGGTGATTCGCTTTGATAACCGTGATACCAGACCAGGTCGACGTGAAAGAGACAAACTAGCTGCAATCAGAGATGTATGGGATAAATGGGTGGAAATTCTACCGTTACTGTACAATCCCAGTCCTCATGTTACAGTTGATGAACGCCTTGTTCCATTCAGAGGACGTTGTCCCTTCAGACAGTATATGCCAAACAAGCCTGCAAAATATGGCATCAAAATATGGGCAGCATGTGATGCCACATCAAGCTATGCATGGAATATGCAAGTTTACACTGGGAAGCCACCCGGCGGAGTGCCTGAGAAAAACCAGGGGATGCGGGTGGTGCTGGACATGAGTGAAGGGCTGCAAGGTCATAACATCACGTGTGACAACTTCTTCACATCCTACCGCCTTGGTGTTGAACTACAGAAGAGAAAGCTGACCATGGTTGGAACAATCAGAAAAAACAAACCTGAACTTCCCAGTGAGCTTCTGAAAATGCAGGGCAGAACTGTGCATTCCTCTAAATTTGCTTTCTCTGAAAATGCAACTGTTGTTTCATACTGCCCAAAGAAGAACAAGAATGTTCTTGTAATGAGCACAATGCACAAAGATGCATCGCTGAGTGCAAGAGAGGACATCAAGCCACAAATAATACTGGACTACAATTCCACCAAAGGAGGAGTTGACAATTTGGATAAAGTCACAGCAACATATAGTTGTCAGCGCATGACTGCCCGCTGGCCTTTGGTGATTTTCTACAACATTGTGGATGTGTCTGCTTACAATGCCTATGTCCTGTGGACTGAAATCAACCAGCAATGGAATGGTGGCAAATTGTACCGACGCCGGCTTTTCCTAGAGGAGCTCGGCAAAGCTCTCATCACTCCCAAGATCCAGAGGAGAGTCCGGCCTCCTCGGTCGACAGCAGCTGCATCTGCCGTCCAGAAAATTCAAGCTGGACCATCAACACATGCCTCCAATCAACCAGAAATGGATCCAGTGGATACAGGCAGTGGCAAGAAACGTTGTTTCTGTTTTTACTTAATTCTTTGACTGTCTTGAGTGTGTTTAAACTGTGCGGGTCAATTTGACCCGTAACATAGTGGATGTAATTTTTTTTTAGCATAACAGGAGGGTTAAAGGGAGTCCTCCTAATCTCAGTTTGTTACCTGTATAAAAGACACCTGTCCACAGAAGCAATCAATCAATCAGATTCCAAACTCTCCACCATGGCCAAGACCAAAGAGCTCTCCAAGGATGTCAGGGACAAGATTGTAAACCTACACAAGGCTGGAATGTGCTACAAGACCATCGCCAAGCAGCTTGGAGAAGGTGACAACAGTTGGTGCCATTATTCGCAAATGGAAGAAACAAAAAAGACCTGTCAATCTCCCTCAGCCTGGGGCAACAATTGGTAACACACTACGCCATGAAGGACTGAAATCCTGCAGCGCCCGCAAGGTCCCCCTGTTCAAGAAAGCACATATACAGGCCCGTCTGAAGTTTGCCAATGAACATCTGAATGATTCAGAGGAGAACTGGGTGAAAGTGTTGTGGTCAGATGAGACCAAAATGGAGCTCTTTGGCATCAACTCAACTCGCCGTGTTTGTAGGAGGAGGAATGCTGCCTGACCCCAAGAACACCATCCCCACCGTCAAACATGGATGTGGAAACATTATGCTTTGGGGGTGTTTTTCTGCTAAGGGGATAGCACCACCCTACCACAATGCTCTGTTTCTGATGACTGGGATGAACAGGAGCAGATTTCAGGAGCAGGACAAGACACCCTCTTATTGACTGATGACTGATATAAAGGCCTGTTCGTGATAGGTGTGGCTTATATTATTATGATGGTCATAATACTTCTTGACAGTGTCATAAAATGTATTTTTTTAGTCCAAATAAAGTGACACAGGATGGTCTTAATGCTTTATGACAGTGTCATAAAGTGTATTTTAAATATGATGAAAAAAAACATGACTGTAAAGAATTCATTATAACAACAACAAAGGACTTAAGAAACAAACTTTAAAAAGGAAATTGGCAGGAAAAAACACATTTTCATAAATGTGGGTTTTGACACTGTTATGTACCGTAATTTTCGGACTATAAGCCGCGCATTTCTTCCCATTTTTCGACCCTGCGGCTTATATAACGGTGCGGCTAATCTATGGATTTTTACAGCTAACGGCCACTAGAAGACCTCCTAAATCTATGGATTTTACAGGTTATAGTCCACCAACTTTAACTCTATGGGCTCTATGACCGGTCCGCGCCCCCCACCTTTAAGCGGCGGGCTCCAGCAGGAAAAGCTGGAGGCCGAAAAAGAGTGAGACAGGTAGCGTGCAAAAGTAAAAGTGGAACCGAGAGTGGTACGAGAGACAGAACGATTCTCCCGAGTGGCGCAGTGATCTAAGGCACTGCATCGCAGTGCTAGCTGTGCCACTAGAGATCCTGGTTCGAATCCAGGCTCTGTCGTAGCCGGCCGTGACCGGGAGACCCATGGGGCGGCGCACAATTGGCCCAGCGTCGTCCAGGGTAGGGGAGGGAATGGCCGGCAGGGGATGTAGCTCAGTTGGTAGAGCATGGCGTTTGCAACGCCAGGGTTGTGGGTTCGATAAAATAATGTATGTGCTAACTGTAAGTCGCTCTGGATAAGAGCGTCTGCTAAATGACTAAAATGTAAATGTAAATGTAACGAGAGCAAGACAGACAGACATTACGAGAGCGAGACAGTTTGTCTCTTTCCCGACTATCCCCTCTGTGCACGAACCCTTACATATGATAATTAAACATTAAAACACCTGCGACTTATAGTCCAGTGCGGCTTATATATGTACACATCATTCAATATCATTCAATTTAGCTGCTGCGGCTTATACTCCGGTGCGCCTTATAGTGCGGAAAATACGCTAGTTGTCATAACCAGCCATAAATAACTAAATATATGTCACAATAGATGTACATATATGGGTCATTACAGTGTTATGACCATATTATGACAGGTTATGACACATTATGTCAGCTGTTATGGCATGTTATGACATGGTTATGACTGTGTTATGATGCTGGGTGTCAAGTAAAGGGTTACCAGATATTGTATAACATATGTCATGGCCTAGCCTACTGCTTGTGCATATTAGTCGCTCACGGACAATAAAAACATTCCTATTCCCTATTTTAATTTCATGCAATGGATTGAATAATCTTCTCTGGACATGTAGGAATCCTATTCATATTTGTTATGGCTTTTACAACCATTGTCATGCTACTTTGTTGATAAAGCAACTCACAGAGTATTACTCTGTTCCAGAATAAATGGGCTCTGGAATTTTTATTTTTATTTATTTTTTACTTCACCTTTATTTAAACAGGTAAGCCAGTTGAGAACAGGTTCTCATTTACAACTGCGACCTGGCCAAGATAAAGCAAAGCAGTGCAATAAAAACAACACAGAGTTACATATGGGGTAAAAAACATAAAGTCAAAAATACAACAGAAAATATATATACAGTGTGTGCAAATGTAGCAAGTTATGGAGGTAAGGCAATAAATAGGCTATAGTGCAGAATAATTACAATAGTATTAACACTGGAATGCTAGATGTGCAAGAGATTATGTGCAAATAGAGATACTGGGGTGCAAAAGAGCAAAATAAATAACAATATGGGGATGAGGTAGTTGGGTGGGCTAATTTCAGATGGGCTGTGTACAGGTGCAGTGATCGGTAAGGTGCTCTGACAACTGATGCTTAAAGTTATTGAGGGAGATAAGAGTCTCCAGCTTCAGAGATTTTTGCAATTCGTTCCAGTCATTGGCAGCAGAGAACTGGAAGGAATGGCGGCCAAAGGAGGTGTTGGCTTTGGGAATGACCAGTGAGATATACCTGCTGGAGCGCAGACTACGGGTGGGTGCTGCTATGGTGACCAATGAGCTAAGATAAGGTGGGGATTTGCCTAGCAGTGATTTATAGATGGCCTGGAGCCAGTGGGTTTGACGACGAACATGTAGTGAGGACCAGCCAACAAGAGCGTACAGGTCACAGTGGTGGGTAGCGTATGGGGCTTTGGAGACAAAACGGATGGCACTGTGATAGACTACATCCAATTTGCTGAGTAGAGTGTTGGAGGCTATTTTGTAAATGACATCGCCGAAGTCAAGGATCGGTAGGATAGTCAGTTTTACGAGGGCATGTTTGGCAGCATGAGTGAAGGAGGCTTTGTTGCGAAATAGGAAGCCGATTCTAGATTTAACTTTGGATTGGAGATTCTTTATGTGAGTCTGGAAGTTGAGTTTACAGTCTAACCAGACACCTAGGTATTTGTAGTTGTCCACATACTCTAGGTCAGACCCGTCGAGAGTGGTGATTCTAGTCGGGTGGGCGGGTGCCAGCAGCGTTCGATTGAAAAGCATGCATTTAGTGACCCAGGTCCTTCCTCCACTGCAGCCTCCTCAACAGTTTATTCATTCCTTTGCAGAAACAATATTTTCATCCAGACTTTGTGGCTTGGAAAGGGTAATGATTATTAATCCATGAATCAAACAAATGGGGTGTTGGAAAAGTAGCTACTTCTTTCCAAACACCCCCATCTAGTGGATGTACAGGGTTATTAGAATTAGTAGGAAATCACTATTCAAGACAAAGGCTGAGGAACATATTGCCCATGTTCGAGAGCATCAAATCCATGATGCATTGTTGGTACATGGTGACTGACTGACTGATCTACAAATAATAATGGTACAAAATGATTTGTAGATCAGTCAGTTGGCAGTCGCCTGCACTGTCGGCTGCAATGTCGAACAAGCCCCTTGTTTCTATAAAATAATTACTGAACGATGGAGGGGAATTGTTTTCACATGGACATATAGCTTGATTACTTCAGAGGCAAAATTGTTGATATCCAGACAATAGCTCTACAATTGCATTGTTTGTCATCACAGGGAGTCTGTGTAGGGCTTTACCCACAGGGCACACACTGGTTGAATCAACATTGTTTCCACATCATTTCAATGAAATTACTTTGAAACAACGTGGAATAGACATTGCATTGACATCTGTGCCCAGTCAGTCATTCAGTTAGTCATTCAGTCAGTCAGTCATTCAGTTAGTCAGCTAACCATCTTTGACCCTCAACTGTACTGAACAAAAATATAAATGCAACATGCTACAATTTCAACAATTTTACTGAGTTACAGTTCATATAAGGAAATCAGTCAATTGAAATAAATTCATTATGCCCTAATCTATGGATTTCACATTACTGAGCAGGGGTGCAGCCATGGGTGGGCCTGAGATGGCATAAGCCCACCCACTTGGGAGCCAGGCCCAGCCAATCAGAACCCCACAAAAGGGTTTTATTACAGACAGAAATACTCAGTTTCATCAGCTGTCAATGTGGCTGGTCTCAGACAATCGCGCAGGTGAAGAAGCCGGATGTGGAGGTCCTGGGCTGGTGTGATTACACATGGTCTGCGGTTGTGAGGCCAGTTGGACGTACTGCCAAATTCTCTAAAACGACATTGGAGGCGGCTTATGGTAGAGAAATTAACATTAAATTCTCTGGCAACAGCTCTGGTGGACATTCCTGCAGTCAGCATGCCAATTGCATGCTCCCTCCAAACTTGAGACATCTGTGGCATTGTGTAGTGAGACAAAACGGCACCTTTTAAAGTGGGCTTTTATTGTCCCCCGCACAAGGTGCACCTGTGTAATGATCATGCTGTTTAATCAGCTTCTGGATATGCCACACCTGTCAGGTGGATGGATTTGGATTACCTTGGCAAAGGAGAAATGCTCACTAAACAGGCATGTAAACCAATTTGTGCAAAACATTTGAGAGAAATACATTTTTTGTGCGTATGGAAAAATTCTGGGATCTTTTATTTCAGCTCATGAAACATGGGAGCAACCACTTTACATGTTGCGTTTATCAGTGGTGTAAAGTACTTCAGTAAAAATACTTTAAAGTACTACTTAAGTAGTTTTTTGGGGTATCTGTACTTTACGTGGTCCTCTGTAGCTCAGCTGGTAGAGCACGGCGCTTGTAACGCCAAGGTAGTGGGTTCGATCCCCGGGACCACCCATACACAAAAATGTATGCACGCATGACTGTAAGTCGCTTTGGATAAAAGCGTCTGCTAAATGGCTTATTATTATTATTACCTTATTTATATTTTTGGCAACTTTTACTTTTACTTCACTACATTCCTAAAGAAAATAATGTACTTTTTACTCCATACATTTTCCCTGACACCCAAAAGTACTCGTAACATTTGGACAGGAAAATTGTCCAATTCACACACTTATCAAGAGAACATCCCTGGTCATCCCCACTGCCTCTGATCTGGCAGACTCATTAAACACACATGCTTTGTTTGTGTTGGTGTGTGACCCTGGCTATCCGTCAATAAAAAATGAATACAAATTGGTTTGCTTAATATAAGGAATTTAAAATGATTTATACTTGTACTTTTACTTTTAATACTTAAGTACATTTTAGCAATTCCATTTACATTTTATACTTAAGTATATTTAAAACCAAGTACTTTGTAGCTACGTTAACAATCTAATCACATTATTGTTTTAAACGAGACATCATGGTATTGGGAATCCTCACAACCAAGTAAATAATATTTTAGCACCACTATGTTGTCAAGACAACAAACTACAGGAAAGACAGTCATTTAATGGGAGAGGCTCAGCACCACTATGTTGTCAAGACAACAAACTACAGGAAAGATAGTCATTTAATGGGAGAGGCTCAGCACCACTATGTTGTCAAGACAACAAACTACAGGAAAGATAGTCATTTAATGGGAGAGGCTCAGCACCACTATGTTGTCAAGACAACAAACTACAGGAAAGATGGTCATTTAATGCGAGAGGCTCAGCGATGTTAGGATTTTGAAAGTCGTGTAACGTATGCCCGTCATTAAGATGCTTTTGGGAAACCGGGCACATGTCTTTATCCTATGGCTCTATCTTCCCTTCCCCCTCCAATCAACCTGCAGCTGGTGACCCCAGTGACCCTCCAATGAGAACCAAGTGTAGTTAATTAGACCAATCAGAACAATGTGTAGTTGATTGTTCCTCAATAAAGACTAGCCCTGTAAGACTGGTACTGTTTAGCACTAACAAGCTTCATGGTCGGTAATGGAACTGCTGCAGTTCACATGTCTGCTTTTACTCATCAGCTTGAGATGTTTGACAGGTAAAATGCTTCTGAATAAGCAACAGTATTACGTTGACATGTTCTTCATTTTGTCTTGTAAACATTGATTGATATCATGAAGACCTATTGGTAGAATACACCAGCCAGATTGTGTGGAATGTTTTGTACCTTGTAGGTTTGGGACAGCAGTGTGGGGGTAACCAGTGTGGTCTTGCAGTGTGGGTCTAACCAGTGTGGTCTTGCAGTGTGGGTCTAACCAGTGTGGTCTTGCAGTGTGGGTCTAAGCAGTGTGGGTCTAAGCAGTGTGGGTCTAAGCAGTGTGGGTCTAAGCAGTGTGGGTCTAAGCAGTGTGGGTCTAAGCAGTGTGGGTCTAAGCAGTGTGGTCTAACCAGTGTGGGTCTAACCAGTGTGGGTCTAACCAGTGTGGTCTTATATGTTTGGGTCAGCAGTGTGGGGGTAACCAGTATGGTCCTGCATGTTTCCATCAAAAATGTGGGTCTAACCAGTATGGTCTTGCAGTGTGGGGAAAACCAGTATGGTCTTATATGTTTGGTTCAGCATTGTGGGGGTAACCAGTAGGGTCCTGCAGGTTTGGGTCAGCATTGTGGGGATAACCAATAGGGTCCAGCAGGTTTGGGTCAGCAGTGTAGGGGATAACCAATAGGGTCCAGCAGGTTTGGGTCAGCAGTGTAGGGGATAACCAATAGGGTCCAGCAGGTTTGGGTCAGCAGTGTAGGGGGTAACCAATAGGGTCCAGCAGGTTTGGGTCAGCAGTGTAGGGGATAACCAATAGGGTCCAGCAGGTTTGGGTCAGCATTGTGGGGATAACCAATAGGGTCCAGCAGGTTTGGGTCAGCAGTGTAGGGGATAACCAATAGGGTCCAGCAGGTTTGGGTCAGCAGTGTAGGGGGTAACCAATAGGGTCCTGCAGGTTTGGGTCAGCATTGTGGGGATAACCAATAGGGTCCAGCAGGTTTGGGTCAGCAGTGTAGGGGATAAACAATAGGGTCCAGCAGGTTTGGGTCAGCAGTGTGGGGATAACCAATAGGGTCCAGCAGGTTTGGGTCAGCAGTGTAGGGGATAACCAATAGGGTCCAGCAGGTTTGGGTCAGCAGTGTAGGGGGTAACCAATAGGGTCCTGCAGGTTTGGGTCAGCATTGTGGGGATAACCAATAGGGTCCAGCAGGTTTGGGTCAGCAGTGTAGGGGGTAACCAATAGGTTCCAGCAGGTTTGGGTCAGCATTGTGGGGATAACCAATAGGGTCCTGCAGGTTTGGGTCAGCATTGTGGGGATAACCAATAGGGTCCAGCAGGTTTGGGTCAGCAGTGTAGGGGGTAACCAGTAGGGTCCTGCAGGTTTGGGTCAGCATTGTGGGGATAACCAATAGGGTCCAGCAGGTTTGGGTCAGCAGTGTAGGGGGTAACCAGTAGGGTCCTGCAGGTTTGGGTCAGCAGTGTAGGGGATAACCAATAGGGTCCAGCAGGTTTGGGTCAGCAGTGTGGGGGTAACCAGCAATGTCTTGCATGTTTCCATCAGAAATGTGGGTCTAACCAGTGTGGTCTTGCAGGTTTTCATTAGAAGTGTGGGGCTAACCAGTACGGTCTTGCACTTGTGGGGCTGACCAGTACGGTCTTGCACTTGTGGGGCTGACCAGTACGGTCTTGCACTTGTGGGGCTGACCAGTACAGTCTTGCAATGTGGGTCTAACAAGTATGGTCCTGCAGGTTTTGGCCAGCAGTGTGCGGTTAACCAGTGGCAGTGTGATGATGGAGCTTGTCTGCCTCTTTCCTGGCACTGTGATGGAAATGGAGACTGTCTGGATGGCTCTGATGAAATGGCTTGCCGTAAGTCATGCTATGTTTCACTTTCTGCTCTATTCCAAATGATCCCATATTTGTTGACGTAGTGAAATTCTAAATATGGCTTACAACCTGTATTTACTGTAGACTTATTCCACACAGGTCTGTTAAATGTATTACTGTAGACCTATTCCACGTAGGTCTGTTAAATGTATTTACTGTAGTCTGTTTACAGTAGGTCTGTTTGTCCCTGTTCCCCAGCCTGTCCTAGGGGCCAGTTTGCCTGCATGACCGGGGCTCCTGGCTGTGTAAGTAGCTCTGCAGTGTGTGATGGGCAGCACCAGTGTTCTGATGGGTCTGATGAACTGAACTGCCCAGAGGACCAGGGCTGTCTGCAGGGGGACTGGAGGTGTAGGAACAAGATCTGTATCCCCAAGGACCAATACTGCAATGGGGCTAATGACTGTGTGGACAACTCTGATGAGACCTGTGGTGAGATCTTATGGAAACCAAGAGAGCATGTATATGAGACGTTATGGAAATTAGGAAGTATTTAGTTACCATGTAATAGGAGCTATTATGGAAACCAGAAGAGCAGGTATTTTAGACTGTGTACAGTAGTATGTAGTCACAAAATGTGACAAGACCTTCAATTGTGTAGGCAATGCCATGCACATTTAAACATTGAAAAAAACAATGTTCCAAATTACATTTGAACTTTGTCAATTTTTCTGTGGTGTTGGTCCTTCAGCTGGTCAAAATATCCACAGGAAAGTATTATTAAACAGACTTCAAAATGCGGTATTGTGTGGAAATCAAAATGTTTGCTCATGACCGAAAGCATGTGCACAAGAAGTACAAGCACACGAACCATGCATACTAACTGAAGTCTTGTAGGTGTTTACGTTTGTATTTATTATGGATCCCCACTCTTCTTGGTGTCAGGCAAAATTAAGGCAGTTATACATTTTAAAAACATTACAATACATTCATAACAGATTTCAAAATTGCAATTGGATGTGCACAGAGCTAACATTAATAATATGCATGTCAATCTCTCCTGGCTCAAATTGGAGGAGAGATTGTATTAGTTTTTTATTATGGATCCCCATCAGCTGCTGCCATGGCTACTCTTCCTGGGGTCCATCAAAATTAAGGCAGTTATACATTTAAAAAAACATTACAATACATTCATAACAGATTTCTCAACATATTAAGTGTGTGCCCTCAGGCCTCTACTCAGCCAATCATCAGTCATTTGTGTAAGTGACGTGCTTGTTGAATGTTCTTCCCCATAAGCGTGCTGAAAGTCTGTCAATTTGTTTACTGTAAAACACAATTTTATCTGCTCAAACACCATTTTTTCCAAAGGTTTACTAAGAGTTTGTAACAGGCTGATTGGTTGGCTATTTGAGCCAGTTAAGGGGGCTTTACTATTCCTAGGTAGGGGAATAACTTTTGCTTCCCTCCAGGCCTGGGGGCACACACTTTCTAGTAGGCTTAAATTGAAGATGTGGCAATATCATCCACTATTATCCTCAGGGATCTTCCATCCAAGTTGTCCGGTGGCTTGTCATTGTTGATCGGCAAATTTTTCACCTCTTCCACACTTTAAGGATTTCAAAATTACAACCCTTGTCTTTCATAATTTGGTCAGCTATACCGGATTTGTAGTGTCAGTGTTTGTTGCTGGCATGTCATGCTTATGTTTGCTAATCTTGCCAATGACAAAATCATTGAAGTAGTTGGCAATATCAGTGGGTTTTGTGATGAATGAGCCATCTGATTCAATTAATGAATGATGGAGCAGAGTTTGCCTTTTTGCCCAAAATTTAATTTAAGGTGCTCTAAAGCTTTTTACTATCATTCTTTGTCATTTATCTTTGTTTCACAGTGTGAAATTAAATCTTCATAACCAGTGCTCTAAAACCTTGGGTTGAACAATTAATTCCTGTGGTTATTTTGTCAAAACAAATTGAGCAGTTGAAGGACCAATCATACAGACCGATTAGACTGGTAGAGTAAGTTTACATCTCATTTTATTCAACATTCTGGCATTCACGATTTTGCGGTGCTTTGTTTCAGGCTATATATCAATGTTTTATCAGTAATGATAACAGGCAGTATGTAGCCTATAGGTCTGGTAATGACTATGGGGCGGCAGGTAGCTTAGTGGTTAAGAGCGTAGTGCCAGTAACCGAAAGGTCGCTGGTTCTAATCCCCGAGCCGACTAGGTGAAAAATCTGTCGATGTGCCCTTGAGCAAGGCACTTAACCCTAATTGCTCCTGTAAGTCGCTCTGGATAAGAGCGTCTGCTAAATAACTAAAATGTAAATGTAAATAACAGGCAGTATGTAGCCTATAGGTCTGGTAAAGATAAGATCATGTGTGTTTATTCATCAGGAAGGCATGTAGTGTGACGAGGCTGTGATGTGTGTTTTTAAAGCTGTTCCTCTTACAGGCCGGTGTGGGCCAACGGCTGTGCGTTGTCCTGGAGGGTTGTGTCTGACTGAAGATGAGCGGTGTGATGGAAAACTGCACTGCTCTGATGGCAGCGATGAACCCTCTACCTGTGGTAGGAAACTCTAACCCTTAACCTCTAACCCTAACCTTCAGTCTATAACAATTTACCTGTGGTAGGAACATCTAACCCAGGGGTTTCAAACATACGGCTCACTGGCCAGATCTGTCCTCCGGACCCATTCAATCCCTGACCCCATTAAATACTGTGGATTTAAGAAAAAACTATCCGGGTGAAAATGATCTTAATGTACACTGAGATTAATAAAACGAAATGGAAACTTTGTAGAAATAGTGGACCTACATTGAGACTTTTCACTCTGTCCAGCTTGCTAAAAGTCATCCAAACGAAAGCTAGAGGACAATTTTTTTTTCTCGCATTTTGACCTCAATGAAATATAATCCATTTTAAGTGCGGCCCACCAGACCTCGGTGAAGACCACATTTGTATTTGTTTTTATTATGGATCCCCGTTAGCTGCTGCCAATGCAGCAGCTACTCTTCCTGGGGTTTATTATGGATCCCCATTAGTTCCTGTCAAGGCAGCAGCTACGCTTCCTGGGGTTTATTATGGATCCCAATTAGTTCCTGTCAAGGCAGCAGCTACGCTTCCTGGGGTTTATTATGGATCCCAATTAGTTCCTGTCAAGGCAGCAGCTACGCTTCCTGGTTCCAGCAAAATTTAAGGCAGTTAATAAAAATAAAACATTACATTCACAGATTTCACAACACACTGTGTGCCCTCAGGCCCCTACTCCACCACTACCACATATCTACAGTACAATATCCATGTGTGTATAGTGCGTATGTTATGATGTGTGTGTGCGCATGTGTCTGTGCCTATGTTTGTTGCTTCACAGTCCCCGCTGTTCCATTAAGTGTTTATCTGTTTTTAAATCAAATTTTACTGCTTGCATCAGTTACTCGATGTGGGATAGAGTTCCATGTTGTCATGGCTCTATGTAGTACTGTGCGCCTCCCATAGTCTGTTCTGGACTTGGGGACTGTGAAGAGACCTCTGGTGGCATGTCTTGTGCGGTGCGCATGGGTGTCTGAGCTGTGTGCTAGTCGTTTAAACAGACTGCTCGGTGCTCTCAACATGTCAATACCTCTCATAAATACAAGTAGTGATGAAGTCAATCTCTCCTCCACTTTGAGCCAGGATATATTTACATGCATATTATTCATATTAGCTCTGTGTACATCCAAGGGCCAGCCGTGCTGCCCTGTTCTGAGACAATTGCAATTTTCCTAAATCCCTTTTTGTGGCACCTGACCACACGACTGAACAGTAGTCCAGGTGCGACAAAACTAAGGCCTGCCTTGTTGCTAGTGCAGTTAAGAATGCAGAGCAGCGCTTTATTGGTCCTCTGTAGCTCAATTGGTAGAGAACGGCGCTTGTAACGCCAGGGTAGTGGGTTCGATCCCCAGGACCACCCATACGTAAAAATGTATGCGCACATGACTAAGTCGCTTTGGATAAAAGCGTCTGCTAAATGGCATATTATTATGGACAGACTTCTCCCCATCTTAGCAACTGTTGTATCAATATGTTTTGACCATAACAGTTTACAATCCAGGGTTATTCCAAGCAGTTTAGTCACAACTTGCTCAATTTCCACATTATATATTACAAGATTTAGTTGAGGTTTAAAAACATTGTATTTTGGACAAATTCACTAGTTTTAGAAATATTTAGGACTAAGTCATTCCTTGCCACCCACTCTGAAACTAACTGCAACTCATTAAGTGTTGCAGTCCTTTCAGTCGCTGTAGTAGCTGACATTTATAGTGTTGAGTCATCCTTATACATAGACACACTGGCTTTACTCAAAGCCAGTGGCATGTTATTAGAAAATATTGAAAAAAGTAATGGGCCTAGGCAGCTGCCCTGGGAAATTCCTGATTCTACCTGGATTATGTTGGAGAGCCTTCCATTAAAGAACACCCTTTGTGTTCTGTTAGACAGGTAACTCTTTATCCACAATATATAAAGCCGTAACACAAGATTTTCCAATAGCAGACTATGATCGCACTGAAGTCTAACAAAACAACACCCACAATCTTTTTATCATCAATTTCTCTCAACCAATCAGTCATTTGTGTAAGTGCTGTGCTTGTTGAATGTCCTTCGCTATAAGCATGCTGAACGTTTCTCAATTTGTTTACTGTAAAATAGCATTGTATCTGGTCAAACAATTATTTTCAAAAACTTTAAGTGTTGGTAACAGGCTGATTGGTCAGGTATTTGAGCTTGTAAAGGGGGCTTTGCTATTCTTGGGTAGCGGATTGACCTTTGCTTCCCTCCAGGCCTGAGGACACACACTTACTAGTGGGATTAAATTGAAGATATGGCCAATAGGAGTGGCAATATCGTCCGCTATTATCCTCAGTCATTTTTCATCCAAGTTGTCAGACCCCTGTGGCTTGTCATTGTTGATAGAGAATTTTTTCACCTCATTCACACTCGCTTTACGAAATTCAAAATGACAATGCGTGTCTTTTCATAATTTCGTCAGATATACACTGCTCAAAAAAATTAAGGGAACACTATAATAACACATCCTAGATCTGAATGAATGAAATAATCTTATTAAATACTTCTGTCTTTACATAGTTGAATGTGCTGACAACAAAATCACACAAAAATTATCAATGGAAATCAAATTTATCAACCCATGGAGGTCTGGATTTGGAGTCACCCTCAAAATTAAAGTGGAAAACCACACTACAGGCTGATCGAACTTTGATGTAATGTCCTTAAAACAAGTCAAAATGAGGCTCAGTAATGTGTGTGGCCTCCACGTGCCTGTATGACCTCCCTACAACGCCTGGGCATGCTCCTGATGAGGTGGCGGATGGTCTCCTGAGGGATCTCCTCCCAGACCTGGACTAAAGCATCCGCCAACTCCTGGACAGTCTGTGGTGCAACGTGGCGTTGGTGGGTGGAGCGAGACATGATGTCCCAGATGTACTCAATTGGATTCAGGTCTGGGGAATGGGCGGGCCAGTCCATGGCATCAATGCCTTCCTCTTGCAGGAACTGCTGACACACTCCAGCCACATGTCTAGCATTGTCTTGCATTAGGAGAAAACCAGGGCCAACCGCACCAGCATATGGTCTCACAAGGGGTCTGAGGATCTCATCTCGGTACCTAATGGCAGTCGGGCTACATCTGGCGAGCACATGGAGGGCTGTGCGGCCCCCCAAAGAAATGCCACCCCACACCATGACTGACCCACCGCCAAACCGGTCATGCTGGAGGATGTTGCAGGCAGCAGAACGTTCTCCACGGCGTCTCCAGACTCTGTCACGTCTGTCACATGTGCTCAGTGTGAACCTGCTTTCATCTGTGAAGAGCACAGGGCGCCAGTGGCGAATTTGCCAATCTTGGTGTTCTCTGGCAAATGCCAAACGTCCTGCACGGTGTTGGGCTGTAAGCACAACCCCCACCTGTGGACGTTGGGCCCTCATACCACCCTCATGGAGTCTGTTTCTGACCGTTTGAGCAGACACATGCACATTTGTGGCCTGCTGGAGGTCATTTTGCAGGGCTCTGGCAGTGCTCCTCCTGCTCCTCCTTGCACAAAGGCGGAGGTAGCAGTCCTGCTGCTGGGTTGTTGCCCTCCTACGGCCTCCTCCACGTCTCCTGATGTACTGGCCTGTCTCCTGGTAGCGCCTCCATGCTCTGGACACTACGCTGACAGACACAGCAAACCTTCTTGCCACAGCTTGCATTGATGTGCCATCCTGGATGAGCTGCACTACCTGTGCCACTTGTGTGGGTTGTAGACTCCGTCTCATGCTACCACTAGAGTGAAAGCACCGCCAGCATTCAAAAGTGACCAAAACATCAGCCAGGAAGCATAGGAACTGAGAAGTGGTCTGTGGTCACCACCTGCAAAACCAGCCCTTTATTGGGGGTGTCTTGCTAATTGCCTATAATTTCCACCTGTTGTCTATTCCATTTGCACAGCAGCATGTGAAGTGTATTGTCAATCAGTGTTTCCTAAGTGGACAGTTTGATTTCACAAAAGTGTGATTGACTTTGAGTTACATTGTGTTGTTTAAGTGTTCCCTTTGTTCCCTTTATTTTTTTGAGCAGTGTACTTGGACGTGTGGTGTCAGCATTTGTTGCTGCCATGTCATGCCTAAGTTTGCTAATCTTGCCATTGAAAAAAATTAAAGTAGTTGGCAATATCAGGGGTTTTTGTGATGAATGAGCCATCTGATGCAATGAATGATGGAGCTGATTTAGCTTTTTTTCCCAACATTTCATTGAAGGTGCTCCAAAGCTTTTTACTATCATTTGTCATTTATCTTTGTTAGTGTAGTTTCTTTTTATTCAGTTTAATCACATGATTTCTCATAAGCCAGACTTATTTGCCATTCCTTTTGCCTCATCCAACTCAACCATACAATTTTTCAATTCCTCATCAATCCACTTGGATTGAACAGTTTTTAGTCATTTTCTTAATGGGTGCATGCTTATTATTAACTGGAATAAGCAATTTCATAAATGTGTCAAGGGCAGTGTTTGCTCCTCATTACACACCACTGACCAACAAATATTCTTTACATCAACAACAGGAATCACTACAAAACATATTGTATTACCTCTTACATAGGCCCAGCCTTTGGAACTTTGGTTTTCCTAAATATGGCTACAATATTGTGATCACTACATCCAATGAATCTGGATACTACTTTCAAGCAAATTTCTGCAGCATTAGTAAAGATGTGATCAATACATGTTGATTTCATTCCTGTGCTGTTGGTAACTACCCTGGTAGGTTGACTGATAACCTGAACAAGGTTGCAGGCACAAAATACAGTTTGAAGCTTTTTTTTTGTGGGCAGCTTGAAAGCCAGTCAATATTTAAATCACCCAGAAAATATACCTCTTATCACATATTATCAAGCATTACACACGATATCTAGATATTGACTGTTAGCACTTGGTGGTCTATAGCAGCTTCCCACCAGAATGGGCTTTAGGTGAGGCAGATGAACCTGTAGCCATATTACTTCAACAGTATTTAACATGATATTGTCTCTAATCTTTACAGGAATGTGGTCCTGAATACAGTGAGGGGAAAAAAGTATTTGATACCCTGCTGATTTTGTACGTTTGCCCACTGACAAAGACATGATCAGTCTATAATTTTAATGGTAGGTTTATTTGAACAGTGAGAGACAGAATAACAACAACAAAATCCAGAAAAACGCATGTCAAAAATGTTATAAATTGATTTGCATTTTAATGAGGGAAATAAGTATTTGACCCCTCTGCAAAACATGACTTAGTACTTGGTGGCAAAACCCTTGTTGGCAATCAGAGGTCAGACATTTCTTGTAGTTGGCCACCAGGTTTGCACACATCTCAAGAGGGATTTTGTCCCACTCCTCTTTGCAGATCTTCTCCAAGTCATTAAGGTTTCGAGGCTGACGTTTGGCAACTCGAACCTTCAGCTTCCTCCACAGATTTTCTATGGGATTAAGGTCTGGAGACTGGCTAGGCCACTCCAGGACCTTAATGTACTTCTTCTTGAGCCACTCCTTTGTTGCCTTGGCTGTGTGTTTTGGGTCATTGTCATGCTGGAATACCCATCCATGACCCATTTTCAAAGCCCTGGCTGAGGGAAGAAGGTTCTCACCCAAGATTTGACGGTACATGGCCCCGTCCATCGTCCCTTTGATGCGGTGAAGTTGTCCTGTCCCCTTAGCAGAAAAACACCCCCAAAGCATGATGTTTCCACCTCCATGTTTGACGGTGGGGATGGTGTTCTTGGGGTCATAGGCAGCATTCCTCCTCCTCCAAACACGGCGAGTTGAGTTGATGCCAAAGAGCTTGATTTTGGTCTCATCTGACCACAACGCTTTCACCCAGTTCTCCTCTGAATCATTCAGATGTTCATTGGCAAACTTCAGACGGGCCTGTATGTGTGCTTTCTTGAGCAGGGGAACCTTGCGGGCGCTGCAGGATTTCAGTCCTTCACGGCATAGTGTTACCAATTGTTTTCTTGGTGACTATGGTCCCAGCTGCCTTGAGATCATTGACAAGATCCTCCTGTGTAGTTCTGGGCTGATTCCTCACCGTTCTCATGATCACTGCAACTCCACGAGGTGATCTTGCATGGAGCCCCAGGCTGAGGGAGATTGACAGGTCTTTTTTTGTTTCTTCCATTTGCGAATAATCACACCAACTGTTGTCACCTTCTCCAAGCTGCTTGGCGATGGTCTTGTAGCCCATTCCTGCCTTGTGTAGGTCTACAATCTTGTCCCTGACATCCTTAGAGAGCTCTTTGGTCTTGGCCATGGTGGAGAGTTTGGAATCTGATTGATTGCTTCTGTGGACAGGTATTTTATACAGTTAACAAACTGAGATTAGGAGCACTCCCTTTAAGAGTGTGCTCCTAATCAGCTCGTTACCTGTATAAAAGACACCTGGGAGCCAGAAATCTTTCTGATTGAGAGGGGGTCAAATATTTATTTCCCTCATTAAAATGCAAATCAATTTCTAACATTTTTTACATGCGCTTTTCTGGATTTTTTTTTGTTATTCTGTCTCTCACTGTTCAAATAAACCTACCACTAAAATTATAGACTGATCATTTCTTTGTCAGTGGGCAAATGTACAAAATCAGCAGGGGATCAAATACTTTTTTCCCTCACTGTATAAACCGCAACACCTCCACCATTTGGCATTTCTATATTTTCTGTAAATGTTATAACCTTTATTGCTACCACTATGTCATCAAAGGTATTGTCTAAGTGAGTTTCAGAGTCTGAATGTGAATGTCATCTGTTACTAGCAAATTATTGATTTCATGAACCTTGTTTCTTAAGCTACATATGTTAATGTGGGCTATTTTGAGCACTTCTTCTGGGATGCTTACTTGTTTTTATTGCTTTACTGGGAAGCTTAGCAGCAGTAGATATGCTCATGTTATGTATGTTAGTGCAGGGTGAGCTGCACACAGTGGACTTCCTCCTAGGGCACACCGGCTCAGTGGTAACAATATAAATCTGGTTAATAGGCACATGATTACTGCATCCAATAGCTGTAGGATCATCAGAGGCATTCAGGGCAGTTAGAGGGACATAAATTAGGTTATTTGTATTGTCTACCGATGCCCCTGGTGTAATGTACATTTGCTGAATCATTATGACAACTACGTCACAATGGTAGGGATTAGCTGAGCTGGGCTTGGGTCATTGATAAGTCATTGTGTCAACGCAGCCTTATCATGCTGTGAAAGGATCCAGGAACCCAAATGATTTGGGTGGATCCCATCCTCCTTATAAAACGTACTTTGTTTCCAAAGGGTATCAATTGTCAAAAAAGTGACACCCATTTGAGCTGCCAGTTGTGAAGAGCGATTCCTTGCCAAAGCATTCAATGCCATGATTCAGAGTGGGCACAGGGCCAGATATGGTGTCTGAGAGTCAATCAGCTCTTTAAAATCCAGTTTCAGCTGCTCTTCATGATGTCATTTAAACCCACTTGGACTACAATAGAATCGATTTCCATGTCCTGACGTAGTACATTCGGGAGCAGCTTAGTAATTTAATTTACTCGAGCTCCGGGATAGGACACTGTTTTTGCACCAGGAATGGTCAAATTTCTTACCATGGAGCTGCCCAAAATCATGGCTGGCGAGAAGGATGAGGAAATCCGTCCAGTCTCACGCTTCACAGGATTTGGAGAACCCTTGATGGATGGGTGAGAGGCAGGATAACTTGAGCCCGTAACTCCCGGCGCCTGGTGCAGGCCTCTGACAGATGGAGAAGCCCCGCTCGATCCAGAGCAGGGACTTAGGTTGTAGTAGGCCCTGCGGTCACAGGCACCCCCTGTGATGAAGGTGCATGAAGATCAGGCTCCAGGAACGCAAAAACTATTTGTTTGTATCCGCTCCGGGCCTCTCGTCGAGAGTGTAGACTGCTTTCGGGGAGGTCGCTGTCTTCAGCTTCCACGGCTCGTGACATGCGACCATCATTGATTGCCTTCCTCCTCATGCTGTGCTCCTTCGACGGCGCTGTCAGATGGGTGAGCTCCGGGCAACACCGGCCAGTCTGACAAACTACAAGGCGGAGATGCATCCAACAAGCATGAATGCCGTCCAGCCACCGGTGTACAAAATGTAAACGTTCCGCTCTGCCGTTTCCTCAGTTTCTTACGTAGGCTGGTGACTTGCGTGATCAAGGATGTCACGTCAAGCCTATAATCCTTGGCAAGTAAATTGCCGCATTGGAACTCTGAGTGATCCGGTTTGTCCCGTAACAAAGCATATAGCTCCTACAGCGCTGGAACCGTTAATGTATTTTTCCAGAAAGAGGGCTCCATTGCAAAAGTCATCTGGTACCTACTTCGTTAGCTTAATGGCTAGCAGCTTAGTGTCCCTGTCAAGCAGGCTTCAACCAAGAAATAGCTGTTCAAATCCCACTCGATGCTGTCGATAAAATCCAACTCGAACGTGTACACCGTCTCAGACAAAGAGGACAGATGAGCGTCCAAATGTTGCCAAATTTGCTCTCTTTTAAGGATTAAGTAATGGTTAAAAGCCTAGGTAAGACTTGTTGGCACCAAAATGAGCATGAATGATCAGTTCCCGGCGCAAAGTTCTGTAATCTATTTTCCTTGAAGACTGGGTAAAGGGAAGCGCGTTGCTCTCGTAGTCGATAAACTGTATGTTGACAATGTTCTGCGACACAGACTTCTCCATGGCTATTCTGAAAGTTCTAATCGGAGTCGAATAATGGAACACCCAATACTAGCCATGGTAGGGATTGTAATAATAAAACGCATAGTATTTTATAAATGGATTAGACGGTATTACAAGAAAGGATAACAAGTGAAATACATCTTCAAATATAACTAATTAGAACACAAGTACTCAATCAACATAGTGGAGATAAAAACATGGCAAACAGAAGACATAGAAGGCACAGTATGTGTGGATGTATTGTGATGGAAGGTGTGGTGTGCATTTTTGTGTTTTGGAAAAGTGTGGCGTTAAGGGAGTGAAAAAGGAAATGGTTGCATATCCAAGAACAACGTGTGTCTATGAGCAGGGGTTGTGAGAGCTTTACATTTCAAAATAAATGTAATGTATTAATTGTCCTTTTATTGTCCTGTCATGTCTCCCGAGTGGCGCAGTGGTCTAAGGCACTGCATCACAGTGCTAGCTGTGCCACTAGAGATCCTGGTTTGAATCCAGGCTCTGTCGTAGCCGGCCACGACCGGGAGACCCATGGGGCGGCGCATAATTGGCCCAGCGTCGTCCAGGGTAGGGGAGGGAATGGCCAGCAGGGATATAGAGCATGGCGTTTGCAACGCCAGGGTTGTGGGTTCGATTCCCACGGGGGGCCAGTATGAAAAATAAAAAGATAATGTAAGTCGCTCTGGATAAGAGCATCTGCTAAATGACAAAAATGTAAATGTAATGACGGAATGGGCCCCAACCCTATATCCTAGACACCCACCTGAGCAACCCATACACTCACATAGCTAGCACACATAGCACCATAATTTGCAAATAAATTCATTTAAAAAATCCTACAATGTGATTTTCTGGATTTTTTTTCCTCAATTTGTCTGTCATAGTTGACGTGTACCTATGATGAAAATTACAGGCCTCTCTCATCTTTTTAAGTGGGAGAACTTGCACAATTGGTGGCTGACTAAATACTTTTTTCCCCACTGTATATATATTACATTATCAACCCTGCAAGCAATACAATACTCTTATTATGGTGGGACATTATAACAATACTGTTTTAAATAGCTCAATGGACCGTAAAGGAAATCGCACTACAAACATGCTCTTAAAGAAATCATGAATGTCATGGATACATTAGAACTAGTAGATATATATAGAGGCTTAAATATCCTGATCTAGTGAGATATACGTGGCGGAGACTCAATCAAGCTAGTCGTCTTGACTTCTTTATGTCATTCTCGTTGGCACCTAAAGTTTAAAGTGTTGATAGGGGACAGAATGCCGTCGGACCATCATATAATTGGCATATACATTACTCTTACTGAATTCCACGTTGGCGAGGATATTGGAAATTGAATTAAAGCTTATTGGATGACAACTTGTTTTTAAGTAGGACAGAGGAATTTATAACTGATTATTTTCCGACATAACACAGGTACAGCAAATCCCCTTATTGTATGGGACACTTTTAAATGTGCCTTTTTAGAGGCCATGCAATTCAGTACCCATCTCAAAAACATCCCATCTCAAACAAAAGCGATTTAGGTCGAGTCCTTACTAACAAAGGAAATGGGTCTAACAGAACAGATGCATTTAGATGGCAATAAAAACTAATAGGCTCAGAATACATTTGAAGAAAAACAAAGAAATTGAGAAACTTATTCAAGAAAGATCAAGTGTAATATATTATAAAAATAAAGCAAACTGGATGGAATATGGGGGGAAAAATGCACCAAATTATTTTTTAATCTTCAACATAGAAATGCTACCAAAAATAATTGACTGAAACTGGTTATAAATGACGGATTCACCTAATTATATTTTGACGGAGGAAGCAAAGTACTTTTAAGCATATGTTTTTGTTTCAGTCGCCTCTAACTGAAGCTAATTGTAAGGATTTTTTTCTATTGAGAATGTAAAATTAACAGCCATACAGAAAGACTCATGTGAAGGTGAAATTACAGAGGACGAACTTCTGGATGCAATTAAAGACTAAGTCCGGGAGAACTCCAGGGTTGGATTGCATACCAGTCGAGATATGCCAAACCTTTTTTGATCTACTCAGAGGACAGTTATTAGCATGTTTTAACCACTCCTATGTAAATTGTAGATTATCAGACACTCAAGAAGGTCGGATTTCATTAGTACTGAAACAGGATACAAGTGGGAAATGTAAAGATCCAGTCCATTACACTTCAGTGTTGATGCAAAATGTGTAGCGCATAGAATTAAAAAGGTATTGTCAGATATTATTCATTCTAATCAGACAGTTTTTTTTACATGGACGATACATTGGAGATAATATAAGGCAAGTACTGGAAACAATAGAACATTATGAAAAATCTGGGAAACCAGGCCTGCTATTCATAGCAGACTTTGGAAAGGCATTTGTTAAAGTACAACTGGAGTTTATATATAAATGCCTGGAGCATTTCAATTTTGGAGAATCTCTTTTATAGAATGGGTTAAAATCATGTATAGTAACCATAGGTGTAAAATAGTAAATAATGGCTTTCTCCGAAAAGTTTTAAACTGTCGGAGTAAAACAAGGTTGTCCACTATCGGCATATCTATTTATTATGGCCATCAATGTTAGCTATTCAAATCAGATCCAACAATAATATCAAGGGATTAGAAATCCACGGCTTAAAAACAAAGGTGTCATTGTACGCTGATTCATGTCTTCTTTTAAATCCACAACTTGAATCCCTCCACAGCCTCAGAGTATCTAGATACATTTTCTAACCTCTCTGGATTACAACCAAATTATAATAAATGTACTATATTACGTATTGATCACTAAAAAAATACTACTTTTACATTACCATGTAGTTTACCAATAAAATGGTCGCAAAATGTCGCACATGCAGCTAACAAAAACATATGGAAAGGTCTACTCTACCCAAAATTACAACAAATTAATTGCAGCATTACCGTGGAAGTGGGGGAAAAGTAAGGAACTTGTCTGTCGGCCCTGCATTAAAGAACATAATTGGTTAAAGAATATTGTGATTTAAATAAAGTATACCAGTTTCATTTAAGGAACAAAGGATTGACAGCCGTCCCATATAGATTGCAAAATAGTTGGGAAGAGATTTGATGTACCGATTCCATGGCAGTGTTTATGAACTGATACGCAAAATGATGTGGGATTCAGAACACAGAATTTTTCATTTTTAAATTATTACACAAAATTCTTGCTACCAATAGAAGTATTTATATGGGTGATACAATCTTCCCAGCTCTGCAGATTTTGCTGCGAAGAGACAATCATCATTTGCTTTGGTACTGTCCATTTGTAGCTTGTTTTTGGTCACGGGTCCAGGAATGGCTGAAGGATTGCAATATTTACCTGGAGCTAACCCTGCAGATGGTGGGGTTGGAAAGTAAAGGGAAATATATTTTTAAAAAGGATATGTATGTGTATATATCTCTACAATAAAAATAAACATATGGGGGATTGGAAGTGAATGGCTGAAGGATTGCAATATTTACCTGGAGCTAACCCTGCAGATGACACTACTGGGTGATCTGAAAAGTCAGTCAATCGATCAATAATATAATAATTTTAGATAAATGTATTTTCAATGTACAATCTGTAGAAACAATGAGAATAGAAGGGTTCAGAACTTTTGTGAAACAGTACAGTTGTAAAATATATGGCAAATAGAAATCCTATATGGATGGTGTTAAAAGATAGATGGGAGGTGTTGAATGGAATTGAAGGATGGGTCTAATAACAACTAATAACAAGATAACTAATAATGTAAGCATACTGTGTCCATAATAAGTATATAGGTTGTAGGTGGAGAGCTTTTGTGAAAGAGCACAGTTAGAAAGATATGGCATATAGAAGCAAACCGGATGGACATCATGAAAATGATCGGAGAGGTTGAGGGAAAGGGAGGTTCAGGAGTAAAAACAAACAACATATAATTATTGTAAAATTGACTGTGTCCATAAAATGCATATAGTGTGTATATATAAGCTGGAAGTAGAGGCCTAATCATTGTTTACTCCAATTAGGGAAGGGGTGGTGGGATTGGAAAGTAATAAAGGGAAATATATTTTAAAAAAGGATATGTATTTATATGCATGTCTGTATATGTATATATATTTGTGAGGGGGAAAAAAACATGGGATTGGAAGTGATGCAGACAATTACACTGGAAGTTACAATCTAGCTGCAATATTAAAGCTGAAAAAAATAAAGATAGCGGTCCGACCAGTTAAAAGCTAACTGCGTCGTGGAATCCACACACAATTTCTGTATTTAATTGGTTTAACGGTTTTGTTTTAATCAAAAATGTTTTTTTCCAGCATGCAGATCGCGGGTCAATTAGCCTGACACCCCTGCTCTAACCCTGACCTCTACTAATGTGAACCTCTTCAGTCATAACTGACTGTTATGGCGTCTGAAACGTGTCAAAGGACAGGCTGGTCTGACTGATCTCTACTTTCCAGGGAGGACCTGTTCAGTAGAGAACGGTGGCTGCAGTCACTCCTGTGTGGATCAGCCCTGGGGAGCTCTCTGCTCCTGTCCTAAAGGCCATAGGCTGTCTGCTCACGGAGCCGCCTGTCAGGGTGAGTTGGTTTGTGATCCTGTTGAAGACTTATTGTCATGACTGGTTTCATTATGTATTCCTTTACTTTAAGCCTCTTAGCCTAAATACTCTGAACCCCTCTCATCTCTGTATATATGGATGAAAGCTCTCTGCCTTAGTTGGGCTAGGGTCCTCTGTAGCTCAGTTGGTTAGGGTTAACCCTAATAGACTGTATCCCTCGGCTATCCTCTCTGTAGATGTGGATGAATGCTCTCTTCCTTACGGTCCATGCATGCACTTTTGTGTCAACACACCCGGGTCCTTCTACTGCCACTGCCGAGACGGCTTCCAGCTTCAAGGAACCACTGACTGCTATGCTAAAGGTGAAGTTTAATCGTAACATTAGTCGGATGATTAACGTCTGACTGACTATCTAAACCTGTTCAATATTTGATGCTTTTCAGGAAATTACACAAAGTTTCTGACTGCAAAGAAGGGAACTATTGGATTTCTGAATCTGAAGACTCTGAGATTTGAGGCTCTTCAGAGTGTTGGCTATGATCCTCTGGCCCTGGCCTTTGACCTGTCCAGGAGCTCATTCTACTGGGCTGATGACCAGGGGAACATCTACAAGGCTAAGGAGCAGCAGAGCAGGATCCTTTATCATGGTTGGTTTGTTCTGATGTTCTATCATGATTGGTTTCTCCTGATGTAGCAGGATCTAGAAGTCTTCATGGCTCCACCTGTACCTGAATACCCGATCAGGGACCCGAGCGGGTCTGGATCCAGAATTCTAAATCTCATGGGTCTGGTTCAGATCTGATATGATTATCATTGGTCTCAGGGTATGTGTAATTTTAACTGACTTGTCCGGAAGGACCCATACAGATCTGACTGCTGCAGTAGAGAGAGATTGTGTCATTTATGCTGCTGTTCTTGCTTTTCACGAGAGTGGCGAGTGTAGCTAGTTGTTGTTGGCCAATCATAAATCAAAGTAGCGATAGGCTAGTCAGAGCCTCTGTGTGGCAAAAGTTAGGAGATTCTGCATCTATGGAAGGATAAGGATAGGCTACAATGACTAACCACTTAATACTGCATATATGGAAGGATAAGGATAGGCTACAATGACTGATAAGGATAGGCTACAATGACTGATAAGGATAGGCTACAATGACTGACTACTTAATACTGCATCTATGGAAGGATAAGGATAGGCTACAATGACTGATAAGGATAGGCTACAATGACTGATAAGGATAGGCTACAATGACTAACTACTTAATACTGCATCTATGGAAGGATAAGGATAGGCTACAATGACTGATAAGGATAGGCTACAATGACTAACTACTTAATATTCTGAAGTTAGGAGATACTGCATCTATGGAAGGATAAGGATAGGCTACAATGACTGATAAGGATAGGCTACAATGACTGATAAGGATAGGCTACAATGACTGACTACTTAATATTCTGAAGTTAGGAGATACTGCATCTATGGAAGGATAAGGATAGGCTACAATGACTAACTACTTAATATTCTGAAGTTAGGAGATTCTGCATCTATGGAAGGATAAGGATAAGGATAGGCTACAATGACTAACCACTTAATACTGCATCTATGGAAGGATAAGGATAGGCTACAATGACTGATAAGGATAGGCTACAATGACTGATAAGGATAGGCTACAATGACTGATAAGGATAGGCTACAATGACTGATAAGGATAGGCTACAATGACTAACTACTTAATACTGCATCTATGGAAGGATAAGGATAGGCTACAATGACTGATAAGGATATGCTACAATGACTGATAAGGATAGGCTACAATGACTAACTACTTAATACTGCATCTATGGAAGGATAAGGATAGGCTACAATGACTGATAAGGATAGGCTATAATGACTAACTACTTAATACTGCATCTATGGAAGGATAAGGATAGGCTACAATGACTAACTACTTAATACTGCATCTATGGAAGGATAAGGATAGGCTACAATGACTAACTACTTAATACTGCATCTATGGAAGGATAAGGATAGGCTACAATGACTAACTACTTAATACTGCATCTATGGAACTAACATGAAAGGATAAGGATAGGCTACAATGACTAACTACTTAATACTGCATCTATGGAACTAACATGAAAGGATAAGGATAGGCTACAATGACTAACTACTTAATACTGCATCTATGGAACTAACATGAAAGGATAAGGATAGGCTACAATGACTAACTATTTAATACTGCATCTATGGAACTAACATGTAAGGATAGGCTACAATGACTAACTACTTAATACTGCATCTATGGAACTAACATGAAAGGATAAGGATAGGCTACAATGACTAACTACTTAATACTGCATCTATGGAAGGATAAGGATAGGCTACAATGACTAACTACTTAATACTGCATCTATGGAAGGATAAGGATAGGCTACAATGACTAACTACTTAATACTGCATCTATGGAACTAACATGAAAGGATAAGGATAGGCTACAATGACTAACTACTTAATACTGCATCTATGGAACTAACATGAAAGGATAAGGATAGGCTACAATGACTAACTACTTAATACTGCATCTATGGAAGGATAAGGATAGGCTACAATGACTAACTACTTAATACTGCATCTATGGAACTAACATGAAAGGATAAGGATAGGCTACAATGACTAACTACTTAATACTGCATCTATGGAACTAACATGAAAGGATAAGGATAGGCTACAATGACTAACTACTTAATAATCTGAATGGAGTTATTTTAAACTGTGTAGTACGAGAAAGTGCATGCAGCCTCAATTAGCCAAGTTAGCTTAACAAGCTTCTCCTGGTTTGATGAAGTCAAGACGGGTACTACGTAATCATATTGAATGATAAATAACCTGGATCCTCTGATGGTTGGTTTGTTCAGATAGGATCCTTTATGATGGTTGGTTCGTTCAGATAGGATCCTTTATGATGGTTGGTTCGTTCAGATAGGATCCTTTATGGTGGTTGGTTCGTTCTGATGGGATCCTCTGGTTTTGTTTTGATGGGATCCTCTGATAGTTGTTTTGATGGGATCCTCTATGATGGTTGTTTTGTTTTGATGGGATCCTCTGATGGTTGATTTGTTTTGATGGGATCCTCTATGATATATTGTTTTGTTGTTGATGGGAACCTCCTATGATGGTTGGTTTGTTATGGTGTATTATAATCTTCTACGATGGTTGGTTTGTTCTGGTGTAGAAGAATCCTCTAGGATGGTTGGTTTGTTCTGATGGGATCCTCTGACAGTGGTCATCAAGGCATTCCTAGTCTCATCAAACATTTCTGTGGAAAAGCCAATGATAAAGACAAAGGCTTTTTGTTCCGTGTTGCCCTGTTGGCGGTAGGTGCACTTGATTCAGAAGCCCTGTTGGTACCAGGTAGACAGTTCCCATTTTGATCCATTTCATTTGTCTGAAAAGAAAAACTCAGCCTACCCGGCGACCTGGAAATCTGTGGCTAAGTCGAGTGAGCCTACTGTGTTGGCCAATCGGATAGCTCAAATCACTGTGCCTCCCTACAGCTTCCACGCCACAGCAAAGTTTGATACTAGTCTGAGATTTCATAACTTTTAAAACATGACCAGAGAGAGACTGTCAAAGAATACAGCAAAGAGCTGCTGTTTTTGAGTGAGTGCATGTCAAAATTGTATTCAGCGCTGTCAACACTTAATAAAAAATATATATTCAACACTAGTACAAGACATCAAATGCGCTTCTCTACTTCGACTTGCGCTGCAGCTGCTATGAATTAGTAGCCAAGTGTCTATAGCCTTGCGTTTCTATTATTAGCAGCTTGTCGTGGCTATTTTAATATCTGAATATTTCACTTCCTCTGGTCATAGGAACATTGTGAATTTGTGACTGATGCGGTGTGACTAGAGATTCACCATCAGGTGTAAGATTGTCCCCCCTCTCTGGTCATTCTCACCGGAGGAAAGGAAGGAAAGAGCAGGGACCATAAGCGTCTTAATTGAAAGGGAAAAACCAGCTGACACTAGGCCCTCCATGGAATGAGTTTGACACCTCTGGTCTACAGCTTGTCATGAGGTATTCCAACTCAGGCGAGCAGAACCCCTCCGAGTTTACCTGACGCTGCTGTTCTGTCCTGCCGATGAATAGAAAAATACAGCTGGATTAATATTTTCCATGTTCTTGTTCAGCCATGACATGGAGAAAAATATATTAGTTCTTCAGACCCCGTTGATAGTCTCGAACGGAGCTCGTCCAGTTTATTCTCCAGTGATTGAATGTTCGCCAATAGAATGGAGGGTAGAGGCGGTTTATCCACTCGCTGACAGTCTCTAGAGGCGGTTTCAGTCTCATCCTGCATGCTGGCCTCTAACGTCGCCGCTTCCTGTCATGGTCCAGGATGAGCAGTATGTCATTTGCCTCGACTCATTTTAGTAAAATCCTCATCTAAATCGAGGTTAGTGATCGCTGTTTTGATGTCCAGAAGAAATTGTGGTGGAAACATTATGTATAAAAAAATTCAGATAAGCACAATTGGTCAGGAGCCTGTACAAAGTCTGCTATCCCTCCATCTTTAACTTATGCCATTTTAATGATATGAGTGGGAGTGACTAACAAAATCCAGTACGGCCTGATCCAGCACCCCTGGAGGTCAGGATCCCTGGGCACATGCCTGGTCGGTATTCAGCCATGATCGCTGGTTAGACTAACTTACAATCAAAAAATTGTTAGCTGACATGGCAAATTGAGTGACTGTCAGTGACGGCCATAAGAGAAACTGCTGATGTACAGTAGGCTGAGTTTCCTGCCTGGAGCCGGCCCTGGACACATGGTATGTAGAGTTGTGATATGGTTCCCCCTCTGCTCTCAGGACAATATGGGGTTAGAAGTCTAGTCTGTGATTGGCTGACAGGCCAGCTGTACTGGACCAACCAGAAGACCCGGTCTATCCATGTTGGGGCAGCTGATGGGAGTGGATTTTCAACGGTCCTGGCCAAGAACATAGACCCGTTGGAGCTGGTCCTTCTTCCTATTGAAAGGTTGGATCATGTTGTTCAAATTTGTGCTACTTTTGATCAGTGGTTGGGGCTTTTATCGCTAACGATTTTGTATGTTTCTCCTTTACTTTGCAGCTTTTTGTTTTGGATCAACAAAGGTCCAGGTGATAAAGTTACTCTGGAGAGATCTGGAATGGATGGGTTGAAACAGGAATCTCTGGTGGTCCTCACTGCACAGTCACCACGAAGTCTGACCCTGGACGTTACAGCTCGGAGGCTGTACTGGATCAGTGATTTCAAAAAGGTTCATGAAATAGCCCAGCTATAACCAATAGGACTGCTTGTCTGCCCCCAGCAATTAACATATTGACAAGCCAGGACCAATTGTTGCGCTTCTTTTTCAGTCCATAGAGACTGTGCGAGTGGACGGGAGTGGTCGCTACAGCTTTCGGGAGTTCTTCCAGAGGAGACCAGCTCAGAGCCTGGCGGTGTTTGAGAGGTGGTTCTACTGGACAGATGAGAAGGGTCTGTGGCGCTCCCCTCAGGACCGACCTAATCAGAATAACTTTATTCAGAGGACAACACTCCCTGTCCTAGAGGCATACCATGTACTACAGCAGCCAAAAGGTATGGGGTAAATCATGCAAACTCTGAAGGTATGGGGATATAAAATAAAATGTTTATTTCTCACATGCTTCATAGAGAACTGGTGAAATGCTTCCTTAAGGGTATTTTTCCACCAATGAGAAAAGATGAGAAGAAAGAATAGAAATAGTGACACAAGGAATAAATAAAGGAATGGCTACATACAGGAAGTAGAACATAACGTGACTACATACAGGAAGTAGAACATAACATGACTATATACAGGGAGTATAACATGGCTATATACAGGAAGTAGAACATAACGTGGCTATATACAGGAACTAGAACATAACGTGGCTATATACAGGAACTAGAACATAACGTGACTACATACAGGAAGTAGAACATAACATGGCTATATACAGGAAGTAGAAATGTATGCACTCACTAACTGTAAGTCGCTCTGGATAAGAGCGTCTGCTAAATGACTAAAATGTATTTAGTCCCAGGGTCCTTAGCGATTACGTTTGTGGGCACAATGGTTTTGAACTCTGATCTGTAGTCAATGAACAGCATTCTCACATAGGTGTTCCTTTTGTCCAGGTGGGAAAGGGCAGTGTGGAGTGCAATTGAGATTGTCATCTGTTGGAGCAGTATGCAAATTGGAGTTAGTCTAGGGTTTCCCGGGATGATGGTGTTGATGTGAGCCATGACCAGCATTTCAAAGCACTTTATGGCTACCGACGTGAGCATGGTAGTCATTTAGGCTGGTTCCCTTTGCTTTCTTGGGTACAGCGACTATGGTGGTTTGCTTGAGATGTAGGTATTACAGACTTGGTCAGGGAGAGGTTGAAAATGTCAGTGAAGACACTTGCCAGTTGGTCCGCGCAAGCTGGGAGTACACGTCCTGGTAATGTCTGGCCTCGCAGCCTTGTGAATGTTGACCTGTTTAAAGGTCTTGCTCACATTGGCTATGGAGAGTGCGATCACACAGATGTCCGGAACAGCTGGTGCTCTCATGCTGCCTCGGTGTTGCTTGCCTTGAAGCAAGCATAAAAGGTATTTAGCTCGTCTGGTAGGCTCGCGTCACTGGGTATCCCTTTGTAGTCCGTAATACTTTGCATGTCATATCCGACGAGCGTCAGTAGGATTCAATCTTAGTCCTGTATTGACACTTTGCCTGTTTGATGGTTTGTCTGAGGGCATAGCGGAATTTCTTATAAGCGTCCGGATTAGTGTCCTGCTCCTTGAAAGCGGCAGCTCTAGCCTTTAGCTCGGTGCGGATGTTTTTTGATTTATTTATTTATACTTTTTTTTTTATTAAGGGGTAGATCAGCTTTAATTTTGCAGATTGATTGTAACTTCCATCAATGTAATTGTCTGCATCACTTCCAATCCCCCATATGTTTACTTTTCTTGCAGAGATATATATACACATACATATCCTTTTAAAAAATACATTTCCCTTTATTACTTTCCAACCCCACCACCCCTTCCCTAATTGAAGTAAACTAGTGAACAACCATGCTTAGGCCTCTAATTCTAGTCTATACATACTAGATACATTTTATGGACAGTCAATTTTACATTTTTGTTTTTACTCCTGAACTTCCTCTACCCTCAACCTCTCTGATCATTTTCATGATGTCCATCTGGTTTGCTTCTATATGCCATATCTTTCTAACTGTGCTCTTTCACAAAAGCTCTCAACCTATATACTTATTATGGACACAATATGCTTACATTATTAGTAATCTTGTTGTTATTAGTCCCATCATTCAACACCACCCATCTATCTTTTAACACCATCCATGTTGGATTTCTCTTTGCCATATAATTTTCAACTGTACTGTGATGTTTTACAAAAGTTCTGAACCTTTCTATTCTCATTGCTTCTACAGATTGTAACAAAAGTATTGTTATATTATTGATCGATTTGACTGACTTTTCAGATCACCCAGTAGTGCTATCTGCAGGGTTAGCTCCAGGTAAATATTGCAATCCTTTAGCCATTCCTGGACCAGTGTCCAAAAACAAGCTACAAATGGACAGTACCAAAACAAATGATCTAATGATTCTGTCTCTTCGCAGCAAAATCTGCAGAGCTGGGAAGATTGTACCCCCCATATAAATAACATTTATATTGGTAGCAATCATTTTGTATAATTTAAATTGAAAAATTCTACGTTCTGAATCACGTGTCATTTTGCGTATCAGTTCATAAACACTATGCCATGGAATCGGTACATCATCTCTTCCCAACTATTTTGCAATCTATATGGGACGGCTGTCAATCCTTTGGTCCTGAAATGAAACTGGTATACTTTTTATATTTATCAGTTTTCTTTAAACCAATTATGTTCTTTAATGCGGCCGACAGACAGGTTCCTTACTTTCTCCCCCTTCCACTTTCCTCTTCCATTTTTGCGGTAAGGCTGCAATTATTTGGTTGCAATTTTGGGTAGAGCAGACATTTCCATATGTTTTTGTTAGCTGCATGTGCGACACACCAGTCCTACGATATAATTTACGAAGATTATACCTATTTAAAACATGTTTGTCAATGTTTTTTTAATCAATTAGTATATTTGAGTTTAACCACTATTTGCTGCATTATTTTGTTCTGTCGTTTCTGGAGGATTCAATTGAAATTGCAACCAACTTTCTATGGCTTGTTTAAGAAATAGTGATATTTGGGAGATTAATTCCTTTTCAAATAACTGAAAGTGAGGTTGTATCTGAATAAAGGGAAAAGGGCCATTCTTGAACATTGGGTGAGACAATCTTACTAATTTGCTAGAGAACCAGTTCGGATATAAGTAACTTATGTATGACTGAATCTTTTAGTGATCGGTCTAATGCTTAAATATTTAATAATTTCTGTCCTAAATAGGCCCGTTTAATTTTGTCTGGCTTGCCGTTCCAAATAAAATGGAATATTTTTTTCTCATAATTTTAAACTGTTCGCTAGGCGTCGGTGTTGTAGAAACATTTGACTAGATAATCAACTCAAAAATATCTCTCAAGACATCAGAGCCTGTGAATTTAAGAATTTAGACTTTATTGAAGAATAAAGCCTGAGCCTTTCTCCACGGAGGAAAGACTGTCCCTTTTTGGCTAAGAGATGTATTATATAGACACATGAAAAAACATTCGTACATTCCTAACTTTTTTTTTAGTTCTGTACCACCCCTCTCATTCTATCATTCTATTGGCTGCGTGCCTAGGCCCCTTCTTAAAAGCCCCTTCTTAAAAAACTAATGTAATGCAAACCATATGTCCATAACAAACCCATGGCCACAGTTTAAAACCCCTGTGAAAGAACACATCATATACTCAATGTCTATATTAATTATTCAAACATATATCTGGATTATAAAATATCAAACATTTTCATTCTGTTTCACCATTATCATTTCATAACACATTATAAAACATTTATCATTCATCATCCTCCCCAGCCCCTGAGATTATGTGCATGTGGCCATGTCTCAGGTCATAAGGTCATAAGCATAAAGAAATGCTAACACTAGTTCCATTGTTACTTCAATCTCCACACAGCCATCACGTCATTGACATTCCCAAACCAGCTGCAGGGAGTTTTTATGAAAAACACATAATTGTCTCTGCTCTGTATTCTCCCTTCAACTGGCTCTCAATCCATAAACACTCCCAAGGCATATAGGTTTTCAATTTTACAACATATCCATGCTTATTACTAATATAATTATTTTACCTTTGACCTTTCCCTACATTTGCCTTAATGATACATAAAATAATACCATATCGGCAAGACCATAAGCAAATGGGTAAACTGGGATAGTACTAAAGAGTTAATCAGGGTGATTTTTCCACAAATTGATAGGTATTTATCTTTCAATGGTAGCAAGAATAATCTATTTTTGTTAACTTTCTATTAAAATGTATTGGAGTGAGATCATTTTCATTTGGGATATGTATTCCGAGCATATCCACATCACCATCAGAACTTTTTGTTGGTAAACTACATGGTAATCTAAATTATTTTTTTGTGATCCAATACGTAATATAGTACATTTATCATAATTTGGTTGTAATCCAGAGGTTAGAAAATGTATCTAGATCCTCTGAGGCTGTGGAGGGATTCAAGTTGTGGATTTAAAAGAAAACATGAATCAGCGTACAATGACACCTTTTTGTTTTTAAACCCTGGATTTCTAATCTGTTTATTATTGTTGGATCTGATTTTAATAGCTAACATCTCTATGGCCATAATAAATAGATATGCCGATAGTGGACAACCTTGTTTCACTCTTGACAGTTTAAAACTCCTGAGAAATAGCCATTAATTACTATTTTACACCTAGGGTTACTATACATGATTTTAACCCAATTTTTAAGAGATTCTACAGGCATGTGTTTATATAAACCCCAGTTGTACTTATATATAAACCCCAGGATAGAATTATGTTCAGATTTGCCAAATGGAGGGTGAGGGAGAGCTTTGTATGCGTCTTTTTTTTCTTTTTTCACTGGTTGCACATGTGACATGCTGGTAGAAATGAGGTATAATTGATTTAAATTTGCCTGCATTAATGTCCCCAGCCACTAGAGCGCCGCTTCTGGATGAGCAATTCCTTGTTTGCTTATGGCCTTATACAGCTTGTTGAGTGTGGTCTTAGTGCCAGCATCGGTGTTTGGTGGTAAGTAGACGGCTACGAAAAATATAGATAAACTCTCTTGGTAGATAGTGGGTCTACAGCTTATCATGAGGTACTCTGCCTCAGGCGAGCAATACCTTGAGACTTCTTTAATTTTAAATGTCGCGCACCAGCTGTTATTGACAAATACACACCACCACCCCTCGTCTTACTGGACGTAGCTGTTCTGTCCTGCCGATGCACGGAAAACTGAGCTAGCTGTATATTATCCGTGTCGTCATTCAGCCATGACTCTGTGAAATGTAAGATAATAGTTTTTAATGTCCCCTTGGTAGGATAGTCTCGAACAGAGCTCATCCAGTTTACACTGATCCTCAACATGG